GAGGATGAGCGAAACCAAGTCCAAAAGGATTATGAAGATTATCAAATTAAAATGGAGGCTGATTTAAAGAAGTTAAGAGAAGAAACCGAAACCGGTAATCCTAACCCACAAAATCAAGTAGAACTTGGAACTCAAATCGAGGAAAAAATTCAATCGCAAACAGAGGAGGAAAAATTATTACTTAGTGAAGCAATAAAGGAATCGGAACGAAAATTTAACGAAATTTTCGAAGCCAACAAAAACGAGATTAATGGTTTAAAGGACGAAATAACTAAATCACAAGAAATGAACAGCAATTTAAAAAATGAATTAAACGATGAAAAAGGACAATTAGCCAGCCTGGAAATTTTACTTGATTATCAAAAAACAAATTTGGCAAAAAATAAATATTGAGAAGAACAATTCTTCGCTAGTGAAAGGGAAAAATTAAATCTCCAAAAAAATTATCATGATTTAATAAATAAAAAAGATTGAGAAATCGCTAGGCTTAAAAAAATAAAAGGTCAAAACGAAGAAGAAATCGTCCATCGATTAGAAATTGAAAGAGAAATTCGCTTGACTATGCAAGAACTAGAAAAAGCCAAAAATAATTATCGTAATTTACTGGCTAGTGAGATGGCGGATAAGCAGGAAGAAATTAGAAGAAAGTCAAAACTAAAAAGTAATTTAGAAGCAAAGAAAAATGAGTTAGAAAAAGCCGTTCGTCAAATTACCCAATTAGAGGCTAAATTAGAAACTACAAGAAGTCTGCTTGAATCCTACCAAGACCTAACCAAAGATAACAATCAAAAAAACGCTGAACTAGAAAGTGAACGATATTGATTACAATGAGAACTTGGTCGAACCAAAAAGTCCAAACAAACAGCGGAAGAGAACTCAAAAAAAATAATAGAAAAATTAAAAGACGAGGTAAGAGAAACAAGTGAGGAACAAAAAGAAATTATTAGTAAAGTCAAGAATGATGTAAAAGATGAATTAGAACTGGCAAAAAAAGAACGAGATGCCAATTGAAAATACTTAAACATAGCGTTAGATTTAGGGAAAAAGCAAACTGAGAAAATCAAGAATTTAGAGATTGAGAACGAAGAATTAACTAGAAAAGAAGATGAGCTTTCAAGGACCCTAATAACTTTGCAAGAACTAAAAGAACAATTGGACAGGGAAAACGAAAATTTACGGGACGAATTAGAAGAAAACTTACCGCAAAAAAAATATTCTTGTTTCTTGTATAAAAAACTTAGCAAAGAGAGAAAAAATAATCTGAATAAAAACTCGGAAGTTAGAGAATTAAAAGTTAAAATTGCTTTTTTGAATAGTCAACACCAAGTTGCTGACAGCCAAATTAATAATTTAATTACTCAGTTAGCAGCCACTCGCCAAACACTCACCACGACCGAAGGTGCTCAGGATATTTTGGCACGGATAGTGGTGGAAAATCACGAAGAACTCCAAGTAAGTCAAACATTAAATATTTCGCAAAATATTAATTTAACCCAAGCCCAAAACGATTTACAACGAGAGCAAGCCATTAACTCCACCCAATTAGCGAGAATTAACGCCCTGATTAAGCAAATTAATATTTTCCGTGGTCGTTATCAGCAAGAGCGGGCAATCAATCTGGCTATAAGTATTGATTTACAGCAGGAAAGAAAAGAAAAAGAACAATTAGAATCTGAATTAAAAGCCCTTTTAATAACTTTACAACATACTGCACGAGACAGTGATAATTATCGCGAGGGAAATTGAGAACAAACCCAAAAACTTAGTGAAGAAAAAGCCGGTCGCGAAGCCTTGGCCGAAAGTTTAAAAAAGACGATTAGGGAACGAGAGCAATTAACCGAGCAATTACAACAAG